GGTCTTCCCGGAAGGCCGGAGCCTGGCCACACCCCCGCGGGAAGCTGGGCAGGTGTCTGAAACCAGGGACTTCTCAGATGCCTTCCAGCGTCTCACAAACTGTTAAATCCTCATCCTCATCTAAAATCCTTTTATTGATTTTAGAGAGAGAGGAAGAGAAAGGGAGAGAAAGAAACATCCATGTGAGAGAGAAACATCAGCTGCTTCCCATAGATGCCCGGACCCGGGATCAAACCCACAACCTGGACACGGGCCCTGACTGGGAATCCAACCTGCAACCTTTCGGTGCACGGGACAATGCTCCAACGACTGAGCCACACCGGCCAGGGCTTGTCACCACCTTTTGAGTCAGCCCTCCCTCCTGCTGGTCCCAGATGAAGTCTGTCACCACCTGTCCCGCTGGACACAGCAGGGCGCCAGAGAATCTTGCATTTGGCTGGTTACAATGCCCTGCCCTGGGGTCTGAATTGAGGCTCTATCACAAAAGCTGCAACAAAATTGCCAAATAGGAACTATTGGCAGGGGCGCTCCTCTCCCCTGCTCAGGCCCCATCCTGACGCACCGCGTGCTCTCAGGTTAGCCGTTCAGAGCAGGGTTCATGACCCAGGCTGAGTGCTCGGAGTTTCTTGAGTCCCCTCCCAAGGCCTGTTCCTTCAGATGATGCTTTGTCGTCCTGTGACCCTTCTGTCAGTGCGCCAATGTCATCCAGTGAGCAAATGTTTGCTGAGTGTCTGTTACGTGCCCGGCCTAGCAGGGGACAGAGTCCTCCCAGCATAGACTGACCAGTATAATGTTGGGACATAAATTGTGAAATGAGCAAAATCCACTCCTGGAGTCGGCTAACAGCAGCACCCCCACATGAGTCAGGGGGTCCAGGGCCAGCCATGGGGGACCCACTTCCGAAGCAGTCCCTCTGAGACCCCCGAGCTGGGGGGAAGAGCGTGGTAGCACAAAGGGCCTCCGCTGGTGGGCCCTGCACCCACTAAACAGCTAGTCTGAGCCGCTTGGTCCTCTGACAAAGGCTGGCCCCCAAATCTGAATCTGAGTTGCACCCAGTCTGTCATCAGCGGTGTTTCCCATTGGCCTCTACCCAGAAAGATTCCTTTCTCTCCGAAGTATGAGCCACGAGGGGCGTGGACCAGTTCAAGCCAATACCTACAGTGAGATGGAGCAGACGCACTAGTGAGTGCATTTGCCAGCACTCTCCCGCCCAGGCCGTCAAGTCCCCGAGCCAGGGGGCGAGCATCCTGAGCAGGGCCCAGGCTGTGGGCGGTGGGCCTGCTGGTCATCAGGCAACTGTCAGGACTAGAAGCCAGGCCTGATTCCCAGTCCTGCCAGCACCACATACTAATGGCTGGCGGGAAGCTCCTGGCAGCTCTGTGCTGGTCTCACAGGCACTCTAACAGGCCGTGCTCAGGTCATCAGGAAGGCCACGAGGGACAATGCGAATGCCGGATACCGTGTGCAGCCATAATAACCGTTTCAGTAACAAACCAAAGAGGAAGTAAAACAGTGACAAGTAGCTTGGAGTCCAACCTGACGCTTCTGAGAGCCCCCATATACTGGCTGGGACGAGTTCTACCCCCAGAAAGAAAGTAACCCCTTTTGGCCTCAGACACCTACCTGTGAGCTGACCCAGAAGGGGGCTGCCCTCCCTCCCGCTCTCTAAACAGGCAGAGAGCCGGGCTGGCCCAGGAAATGTCCACTGAGGCTCCCACGGGCCTCTGGGGCTGGGTCAGCCCCAGAACAGAGATCCCACAGCTCAGCGTCTGCAAGTCAGGACCACACGGAGAAAGTGGATTCCCTGCCTCCCCCACTCCTGCTGCCTGAAGCCAAGGTCCGCTCTGGTCTGACCATGTGTGGTCAGTGGGAGCAAGGGGATAAAGTGCCAAAATTGGGATCTGGGGCACAGAAAGGTGCCAGGGACCTTTCAGTTTTGCTATACACGTTCACATTTAGTGCTTAAAACAACAAAATGTATGGTCTTCCAGGACAGTTCTGCAGGTCAAAGGTCCAAAGGGGTCACACGAGGCTAAAATCACGGTGTCCGCAGACCTGTATTTCTTCTGGAGACTCTAGTCTAGGGGGACACGGTCCTTTGCTTCTGCAGCTTCTAAGGCCACCCGCACTCTTGGCTCCTGGCTCTGTCCAGCAGTCACTTCACTCTGACCTCTGCTTCCACCCTCTCGCCTCCTTCTCTGACTGCACTTCTCCTGCCTCCCTTGTGTATATTTAAGGGGGTTTGGGATGGCACTGAGCCCACCTGGATAACCCGAGATAACCACACCATCTCTAGGTCCTTATAAACACATCTGCAAAGTCCTTCTGTTATGAAGGGAACAGTCACAGGTTCCAAGGAGCAGGACATGGGGGCCCATTGTTCTGCCTGCCAGATGTGCACCCTTACTATGTAAGACGCTGATCCGTAAGGTTCTGTTCCTTGCTCAGTTTCCTCTCCTTCTGGCACCCCTATTATGCAGATCTTGTTTCGTTTCGTGTTGTCCCAAAGTTCTCTTAGGCTCTCCTCCTGCTTTTTAATTTTCTTTTTCTAGAAGCTGCTCTGCTTGGGTATTTTTTCCTACCTTGTCTTCTAGCTCACTGATGAAGTCCTCTGCTTCTTCTAGTCTACTGTTGATGCTTTCTATTGAGTTCTTTATAGCAGTGATGTCATGTTTCATTTCTTCTTGGTTCTTCATTTCCTCTTGGTTCTTACACATATTATTGAATTTGTCTTCCATTCTTTTCATCCACCTTATGACCATTTCTCTGGATTCTTTCTCTGACAGGTTGCTTGCCTCCATTTCGTTTACTTCCTTTTCTGGTGATACCTGTTTTTCTTTCATATGCGGGCTGTTTCTTTGTCTCCCCATGATCTCTTTTCTCCGGTTGTCTGGTTATGTAGTTCTCTCTCTCCTTATCCCAGGTGAAATCTGACCTTTCCGTGAGGGGGTGCAGAGCTCCTCCAAATCCGCGTGCTCGCGCTGCTTGGGGACCAGTGTTCCCGTGTTCGCAGCTGTTCACTGGGTACCATTGTTGTAGTATCCCAGGATTTTCAGGCTTCCGACAACATCCACTCTCCCCTTCAAGATGGCACGGTCTCCGCGTCAGAGCCGGTCGCTTTGGGAGGGATCCCAACAGCAGTGGAAGCTGTCGGGTCAGGGGAACCCCATCCAGCAATCCCCCACAGTCCCCTGCTGTCCCTCAACTCACAAACACTCCCCGTGCGACCACACACTCTCCCTTCATTCTCTCACTCACACACTATCTTGCAGTCTGCCTTCCCGTTGGCAGCCATCTTCCTTCCCTCCTCCGTAAGGTTCTGTAACTGGCCCAGCGGCACGCAGATAAGCAGAGCTGGGATTCAAGCCCAAGGCTGCCGGGCTCCAAAGCTTTCTTCTCTGAGGCGAAAGACATGAGACTGGCTACAGTGGGAACGGCTCAGAGCCCCTCCACACCAGGATCTGGCATTGGAGTAGGAGGGCACGTTTCTGCCTGGGGATTCCAAGTCCACAGACCTGGGTTCTAGGTCCTGTCCTTTCTCCAACTCCCTGAGAGACCAGAGACATCAGGCAAATTCTGTTCACTGCCTTCAGTTTCCTTGTCTCCAAGGTGCTGGGGAGGCTGGAGCAGCTGATCTCAAAGTGCCTTTCAACGTGGACATTCAGAGGTCCTGTGACTCAGGGCCCGTCAGTGGCCTGGTGCGGAGGTGCTGGGCCTTCGGAGAGAAGCCTCACAAACAGCGCTGCACACCAGCGAGCACAACTCTTCACCTGTCAGGTTCTTGGGCCCCCAACAAGCCTGTCCCCATCTTACTGATCCGAGACGGAGGCTCAGGGAGATCACATAACTGCCTCCCCAGGCGCCTCCAGGACTTTGCAAGTCAGAGGCAAAAGGAAATGAGAAAGCAGTTCTGCTGCCTGGACCCGAGGTCTTTCCTCCCACATCAGTGGTCCCGGGGGCCACCATCCGTTCTCACCTGTGTGTGATCCCATGTAAATATGAACCATGCAAAGATACATGTTTTCCATTTATGTGACTGTCCTTTATTCTGAGATTGTGCTCTATTTTTGTGTCAAAAATCTTTTCTTGCCCTCACCAGTTCGGATAGAGTGTTGGCCTGCAGACTGAAGGGTACCGGGTTCGATTCCGTTCCAGGGCACATGCCCGGGTTGTGGGCTCGATCCCCAGTAAGAGGTGTGCAGGAGGCAACCATCAATGATTCTCTCATCATTGTTTCTATCTCTCTCTCCCTCTCCCCTCCTCTCTGAAATCAATAAAAATATGTCTTTTAAAAAATACTTTCTGTTCTGAAGTGCTGGTCATGGTAGATGGTAGGGTTTGGGGGGCGCAGTAGGTAGGATTTTTACATGACAACATTCAAAGTCGGCAGCTCTATTGCTGGTCTCTAGAATTTGTTTGGAAATACTAGAGGCACCTGTAACCTCCAAGCCAGGGAGCCCCTGAGCACTTCCCCCTCTCCCCAGGTGGCTCTGAGCACCCCACGTCTCTTCCTTAGGCCTTGGGAGGTCTCCAGGGGCTGGGAGAGAGGGGTGCAGAAGCTGCAGTTGGGGGGGGGGCAGAAGGGGGGAGTCTGCTCTGTGGGGGAAGGCGGGAGGGGTGCTGACACATCTCCCTGGAATAGCAGGGGCTTCCTGCTGTTCCTGACCAGCTTGGGGACCTTCTTCCTTCCCTCCTCTCCCCTGCTGCGCTGGCACAATGGACAATAGTGGGAAACAGTGGACCAGACCCCGGGGACCTGTAAGCCTGCAGCCACCCCCTCCCACTCCCTCCTGCATCCTTGATCCCTGGCCCTGCAGGCTCCCCACCCCCCCAGCTTCCTGTTTGCCCACTCTGTTTGCCCAGCCCCGGGTCAGAGCTAATCCTTGAACTCTAGGTTCCAGATTATCGCTGGGACCTGTGAGCCTTGGCAAGGCTTGGGCTGGACTGATCAGCCTCCCAGCCCAGCCCCTGCTGGAGGCATAAATAGGCCCCGGGCAAGCTGCTGCTCAGAGCACTTGCCCAGGTACATGCCGCTGCCTCCTCCAGTCCCTCTGGCTCCCCCAGCTCGGAGCTCAGGCTCTGGGATCTTGGCTCCAGGCTCTGCCAGGTGCTGGGCTCTGGATACCTGAGGCTACTCTGCCTGGAGAGTGGGGCACAGGCCCTCCAGCCACAGGCACCCACTCAGCCAGGCCCCTCTCCTCCTCCAGGTCCCCAAGATGAAGGCTGTGGTGCTCACCTTGGCCCTGCTCTTCCTCACAGGTAAGTGCCCCCAACCTAGACAACCAACATCAGGAGGCCCTCTCCCTCACCCCCGTGGTCTACCCTTCTGGGCACAGGGAGCGGAATTTCCCTCAAGACCCCTCTCTTCTGCCCCAAGCTGGCCTTTCTGCTCAGATCCGGCCCAGAACTGGCCTGACTGAGGTGCCTTCTCTCCACCCCAGGGAGCCAGGCTCAGCATGAAACACAGCAAGAGGAGCCCCCATCACAATGGGAGCGAGTGAAGGCGTTAGCCCAGATGTATCTGAACTCAACCAAAGTCAGTGGCAGAGAGTACATAGCCAAGTTTGAAGAGACCGAACTGGCAAAAAAGCTGAAGTAAGGACCCCGCGTGGGCTCTGGGTGGCGCAGGGGCTGCTGGTCCTGAGGGGCGGATGCCAGGCCTGTGGGTAGATGTAGCCACACGGGCTGCATCCCAGCTGCTACCTGATGGGCCCCATACCTGGATGGAGAAACAGCCTCCTAGTGGGGGGGGGGGCCAGACTAGGGCCACCCCGTCAGTGAGCCCAGCATTGCTTTCTGCCTGCACGAGCAGCAGCCCCCTCCCTTCCTCCAGTCCCTCTTCCTCTTGCCAGGGAGGGCGGTCTTCGGAGACAGAGGAGAACGGTCTGGAAGTATAGAGATGAGGCCTTTAAATGGTCCGGCTTTGGGGACAGACAAGACTGATCACCAAACCCAGCTCTGTCTCCCACTAGCTCTGCTGTCTGGGGACTGTGGTTGGGGGGGAGGAGAGGAGGGTCCTTGGGCGAGACAGGCCCAGGCCTGACCCATCGCTCCCCTACAAGCAGGCACAGTTTCGCCCAGACCTCACCACAGGTAAGCTGGGCGCTGGGTCTGCAGCTCCGAGGTGTCCAGGGTGCCTGGGAGGTCCCCCCTGACACCTGCTCCCTCCCTGCCCCGCAGCCTGAAAGTCCTTGCAAAATTGGACACCCTGAGCAACAAGGTCGCCGACCTGACAAAGCAGCTCGGCCAGACCCAGGACTTCTGGGCCAAACTGAAGAATGAGGTGGGGATGCTGACCGGGGAGCTGAACAAGGACCTGGCGGTGGTGAATACCTACCTGGAGGGCATCCAGAAGAAGTGGCAGGATAGGGTGGAGCCGCTGGGCCAGGACCTACGTGAGCGCGCACGGAAGCAGCTGCAGGAGCTGCAGGAGAAGCTGGGCCAGCTGGGCGCGAAGGTGCTGAACGGCACGCGCGTGCACGTGGAGCGCGCGCGTCCGTACGTGGACTCGCTGCACCCGTTCTTGGAGACCATCGGCAAAGAGCTGCGCCAGTGCCTGGAGCCCTGTAACGGCAAGCTGCGCGAGTGCCTGGAGCCCTACGGCGAGCAGCTGCAGGCGCTGCAGGAGGGCGGCCTGGGGCTGGTCATGCTGCGGGAGCAGGTGGGCGAGCAGCTGGGGGGAATGAACGAGGACCTGCAGCCGCTGTGGAAGAGCCTCCAGGACGCCTTCTCCTAGAGGCTGACCGGCCAGTGAGGCGCCCGCTCCCCTCCCCGTCCTCGGTCCCCTTCCCATCGCTCGGTTTCTGAGAATAAACGTTTACAAAGCGGGGTGCATGTGTTGGGTTTGATGTTTTTTGGAGCTTCAAGGATGGTTTTTAAACAATTAAAAGGTCTCCAAACGGTTCTCTCTTGGGAGAAGGGACGGGGTGCGGGCCTCGGAGCGCGCGGCTGGGAGCCCTGCGGGGGCG